GCCTGACTCTTTTTCCTGTTCTTGTGGATTAGGGTGTCAGGGTCTGGTTTTTGTCAGACACCCCTTTTAAGCATTTCTTCCTAGTTCTTAATTTCTTTGTTTCATGTGAAGGACAGGAAGCCAAAGGCTGCAGTTGTTTTTTGCTGTCTCATGTGCCTGTCACTGCTTTTGATCACAGAATCATAGAATGACTAGGTTGGAAGAGACCCTCAAGAAGTCCAATCCAGCCCTAACACCTCAACTAGACCATGCCACCTAGTGCCACATCCATTCTTTTTTTAAACACATCCAGAGATGTGTTTAAAAAAAGATGTGGTGACTCCACCACCTCCCTGGTCAAACCATTCCAATACTTTGTCACCCTTTCTGTAAAAAACTTTTTCCTAATATCCAACCTATATTTCCCTTGGCACAGCTTGAGACTGTGTTCTCTCGTTCTGTCAGTTGTAGCCTGGAGAAAGAGACCAACTCTCACCTGCCTACAGCCATCTGTCCGGAAATTGTAGACAGTGATAAGGTCACCTCTGAGTCTCCTTTTCTCCCTAAACCCCAGCTCCCTCAGTTGTTTTTCATTGTGCTTGCGTTCCAAGCCCCTCACCAGCCTTGTAGCCTCCTCTGGATGCGCTCAAACGTTCTCAATGTCCTTCCTAAACTGAGGGGCCCAGAACTGGACACAGCACTCAGGTCTGGCCTCACCAGTGTCGAGTACAGGGGAAGAATGACCTCCCTGCTCCTGCTGGCCACACTATTCCTGATCCAGGCCAGGATACTGCTGGCCTTCTTGGCCACCAGGGCACACTGGCTCATGTTCAGATGGCTGTTGACCAGTACCCCCAGGTCCCTTTCTGCCTGGGCACTGTCCCCAGCCATGCCATAATCCCTTTGCTCCCACCCTTGGAAAATCATCCGACTAGCTCCAGCCCACTGGGGGTGGGAGGGGTATGGCAAGGACAAAGGTAAAAGACAAAGGAGGCTCTCTCTTCCCAGGATGTTGTCCCTCAGTTAATTCTGGAACTGCTCCAGGGAAAAAAGAGACCGAGGGAGGAATTGCGGGGATTTTTAAACTGAGGGAAAAGGGGGAGGGGAAGGCAGGTTACAGCAATGGGGTGAAACCGAAGGGGAGGGGTGAGTGGGACGGATCCAACACACCATAGACCCAGGAGGAGAGCAACTGGGAAAAACCATTTAGTTTAACATATAGTGCAACATAACACAGCCACACAGTCCCCAGCCTATAATGTTGCAGGAGGTTATTGTGGCCAAAATGCAGGACTTGGCACTTGGACTTACTAAACATCATCTTATTGGATTCTGCCCATCCATCCAATCACTCCAAGTCTCTCTACAGAGCCATTCTACCTTCCAACAGATTGACACACACTCCCAGCTTAGTGTCATCTGCAAATTTACTAAAGAAAGACTCGATACCCTCACCCATGTCATCAATAAAAATATTGAACAGGACAGGCCCCAGCACAGACCCCTGAGGGACACCATTGGTAACTGGCTGCCAGCTGGATGCAGCACTGTTCACCACCACTCTCTGGGCCTGGCCACCCAGCCAGTTCTTAACCCAGCAAAGAGTGCTCCTGTCCAAGCCATGGGCTGCCAGCTTTTCCAGGAGTATGGTATGGGAGACAGTGTCAAAGGCCTTGCTGAAGTCCAAATAGAAAACATCCACAGCCTTTCCTGCATCCACCAGGTAGGTCACCTGGTCATAAAAGGAGATCAGGTTGGCCAAACACGACCTACCCTCCTAAACCCATACTGGTTGGGTCTGATACCCTGGCCATCCTGTAAATGCTGCATGATGGCACTCAGTATAAACTGCTCCATTACCTTACCAGGTACTGAGGTCAGGCTGACTGGCCTATCATCACCAGGATCCTTCTTCTCAATCTTTTTGTGAATGAGTGTCACATTGACCAGCTTCCAGTCATCTGGAACCTCACCAGTGAGCCAGGACTGTTGGTAAATGATGGAGAATGTCTTTGTAAGCTCATCTGCCAGCCCTCTCATCACCCTAGGGTGGATCCCATCTGGTCCCATAGATTTATAAACATCCAAGCAGCTCAGCAGTTCTCTGACTGCCTCCTCCTGGATAACAGGGGTACCATTCTGCTCCCTGACACCATCAACCAGCCCAGGAGGACAGTTGTCCGGAGGAGAAGCTGTCTTCCCACTAAAGACTGAGGCAAACAAGGTGTTAAGCACCTCTGCCTTCTCCTCATCTGCAGTTACTAAGTTCCTTCCCACATCCAATAGCGAACAAAGGCCGATCTTACCCTTCCTTTTACCATTAATATGTTTATAAAAACATTTTTTATTAACCTTTACAAAATTGACAAATTAAGTTCAAACTGAGCTTTGGCTCTCTATTTTTTTTTTCCTACATGCACTAGCAACCCCCTTAAATAGTTCCTGAGAGACCTGACCCTCCTTCCAAAGTTGATACATCCTCTTTTTATTCTTAAGTTCCTTCAAAACCTCATTGCCTATCCAGGCTGGATGTTTGCCTTGGCGACTCATCTTTCTGCACACAGGGCCAGTCTGTTCGTGTACCCTCAAGATATCTGCTTTGAAGCATGCCCACCTTTCCTGTATTCCTTTGCTTTTAAAGGCTGCTTCCCAAGAAACTCTCTGAATAAGTCTCCTAAATAGGCCAAATTCTGCCCTCCGTAAGTCCAATGTAGAAGTTTTATTGATGTTTCTCCTAATATCACCAAATATTGAGAACTCTATGATTTCATGATCTCTGTCCCAAGCTGCCTCCAACCACCACATCTCCCACCAGCCCATCTCTATTTGCAAACAACAGATCTAACATAGTCCCTTCCCTGGTGGGCTCACTCACCATCTGCAACAAAAAGTTGACCTCCACACATTATAAAAACTTCCTGGATTGCCTCTTTTCTGCTGTATTAAGTACCTAGCAGATGTCTGGTAGGTTAAAATCACCTACAAGAACAAGGCCTGGAAATTCTGAAACATTCTCCAGGTGCTTATAGAATAAGCTCTCCACCTCTTCTTCCTAGTAAATTTGTCCTTGGAACTAGTTTTCTGAATGAAGAGGCACAATCCTCTGTATGAGAACACTTTATGGAAAAACTTGAATGCTGTCTCGAAACTGAAACAAAAGTGCTTTGCATCTGATTCTCTAGGAATTGCATGTGCTTCCCCTAGAATAAGCAAGCCTGGTCTTTTGTCTCTACGATGAAATGCAGCACGTCATTCATGTTCCAGGTGTGTTCAATTTGTTAAGTTGCCTGAAAAAGGGATGCTAGCAGTTAACTTTTACCATAAATACTTTCTTTTCTGTTATTTCATGACAGCAATACTCTATGCCACTGAAACAACCAGAGAAGAGCCTACTTCCCTCCCAGATTCTGGGTCTTAGTGACCTTTCAAGAGCTCCCCATGAAATGCCACTGTCTGGGTGCCATGGGAAGTGGATCAAAGAGATTGATTCAGCCTACATGAGGCTGGCAAAGCAAGGAGGCCTACCTGATGAGCATCTGTGTGGCTTCTTTGGTTTTCCTTTGTTTTCTTTGGCTTTGCTTGAGTGCGGTATAAAGTGCTTGTAGATGCTACAGAAGGATCCTCTGGACTTTTGAAATAAACTCATGAAAAAATGAGGAAATTAATTTCTTCCTGACAGAACAGCAATCTGAAAACAAAGGTAGTGCTTTTGCAACTAGATAAGAAGTCAGAAAAGTACTGGCTTTTGTCTTTTCTCCTGACGTACTGAAGCACTACATTCCTGTGGTAATGAAGTCCCCTCCAGCCGAATATGCTGCACCTGACTGGTACTCACACTGTACTAATCCCACAGGGATTGAGGAGCCACAGTAAGAATGCTGAGTCCCAACATATCTTGGCGTCTTTCTTTACCTGTTAACATTTCTGAACACTTCTATACTAAAGTGCAGGATTTGTATACCTTGTACAAACAAGCATTAAATCTTTGCCTGCAGGAGCTGTGTTTCCTCTCTACCAGATTATATGGTTCACAGAGTTTATGGCTGATGACCATCACAGTAACAGTTATGAGACAAGAAATGGGCCTTTTGATTTTGATACAAAAAGTGTTTGGCAGTGGGAAGCTGGGGTCAAAGAAAACGCAAAGAAAAAGAAGGTAGAATGGAGAGGCATCCTGTGATGATGCTCTGTTTGTAGAGCTTGTAAACACTTCTCTGTCTGGGCCTGTTGCTTCTTACAGGAGGGAAGCTGTAATCCATGTGAGTTTCTGTATTCCAGAATCAATATTTATATTGCAGCTAGAGAACAAGAAGAAAATCATGTTTTCTTAAATGCTGCAGGTGTAGTGTAAGAACCAGAAATGCAGTTTCCTATCACATTATATGGTACATATACTTCAGTATAAATAAAAAGCAGTAGTTAGTTTCTGTCTTCTTATGCTTTATTTCTTCTGCAATTCATTCTTGGTGAAGACACATTTTGTTTCGTAGTCTTGGGTAAGGAAGAAGATAAGAACAGAAGACTGTTCTGAAAATGAAGTTTAATGTAGTTTGAAATGGAAGGGAGTTCCCAAAGATAATGTGCTAGCTGTCTTTGAGTGAAAGATGTATCCAAGACAAAGTAAGTATGAATAAACTATACCCCAGACAAATCTTCCTGTACTGACAAGTGTTTTGTCTTGGAGACCTCTCTGCTATCCTCCCTTTCATCATCCCTGCCCCTGCCCAGTTTAGATGCTGAAGCCTTATGTTTTTTAAATATCCTCTATAATCTCTATAATCTCAGTTGCCACATTTACCATAGGCCTTTGGGGTATACCTGGAAAGGCATTTGATGTACTTGAACACTAGTACCTCCCTTCTTGAACAGAAGGGCAGATGTTGGACATTTAGGACAAAAAGTCCTCAGCCTTTGCTGAGATGAATAACTAGTGCAAATTCAGAATGGTGTCTTGTGTAAATGGGAACATCTCATTACTGGATAGGCTTGGGAATATTTACTGAATCTGTGACAACAGGCAAGCAAGCAACATATGTTTAAATTTGCCTGATGCTTGTTGGTGAAGCTTTTTTTTTTTTGTTTGTTTGTTTGTTTGTTTGTTCCAATCATAGATTTAAGGCACTGAAAATGAAAATATGACTTGCTGCAGTGCCTCTTAAAGGAACTGAAGTAGGTCAGAGAGGAAGTGCTGTTTCCGAGTCCCTTACTCTCTCACTTGAGAACTAGTTGTGTTCTGTGGTCTACATGTCATACTTAACTTTGATAACAGTAATTCAATCCCATGTGCTGATTTGTAAAGTGGAACTGAGGTTCATTTCAGTTTTGGTGCAGCTTGGTTGAGACCCAGTTTCATTCAGTCATGTGTCTGAAAATTTCATGTGCTCCTGTGGATGCTAAATGCAAAAAGAAAGCAGGGAACACTAAGTCACATAAACTTCTCACTCTGGCCTGAGAAAGCATAAGGAAAAATCCAAACAGTCCTTGGAAAAAGACAGCAATCTTTGCAGGGGTTGTTTAGGATCCTTGTTTATTTGTAAGAAACAGTCAAGGGGTGGTGTTCCACTTGACCAATGATAGTGATGTGTGACTTTAATTGTCGTGAATAAAATCTCTCAAGAAATCCACCCCGGTTAAAATACTGTGTTTAGTTATGTACAGTTAATGTTCTTAATCCCATTTGTAATGTTACAATCCCATTTGTAAACCTTGTTTGTTGTACCCCTTGTTTACTCCGATGGTTATTAGTAATGCTAATTACTTACCAGTTTTTGAAGTGTTTTAAGAGTTCTTATGAGACATTCCTCTATCCCTTTCCCTTACTTCCCTGCTACTGTGTAACAAAGCTGCTCCCATGGGGGCTGGGCCACCTAACAAAGCAACTCCCATGGAAGCTGTGCCACACTAGAACAAAGCAACTCCCAGGGAGCTGTGCAACCGAATAATATGCAAACTAAGGCATGCAAGACACCAAAACAATGAGCTAACAGAGGAATAAAAAGACAAAGAAACATATTCTAGCAAGCTATGACGAAAGAACATCTACCTACATCACCTAAGCCTGCTTAGAAACTATTTTCCTGCATCACCATGACCTCAAGAGGACTGGAAAGGACTGACCACACTAGACAACAAACCAGAACAATGGTCCTTCTGGCTATTTTCATGAGGCTGGTAAGCCTTAGCTTTGCAGTGTGTGCTGCAAGGCTGAATTGTGGCTCTTCCTTGGACCTGCCATTGTGAGAATGGCTGTGGTGCCAGCAGCTTCTCTGCTCCC